CCATGATACATATTCGTTCACTTTCCATTTTTCTTTCAATCACAATGTCCTTCTCTTGGTCGCCAAGTTGTCCGTCACATAAAGATTGTCTTTTCCGCCCATCAATTATGCTTACCGGAAACCTTGGTCCCTAGGAGAGTTGGATCCATCTTTCCAATACATAGTACTTCCAATGCTCACGGCACAAGCCCGTATAACTCCCACGCACGACTCATGCCTCTCATAATTGAAATGCATGATATGGATTCCATCGTGTATATGCATGCCATAATTACTTGAAGAATAATATCAACAATAGTTATATAACATTTCCAGCAATTTATATCCAAGAATAGTAACTGGTCAAAACCAATCATTCTAATTACCAAACAAACATAAGCACATCAATTCTCACAAATTAACAAGAACGAGTTACAGTTCACAAAGCTTAATAAGGCCAAACATTCAATCATTATAGAGGCCCCCAAGAACCCCTACCTTGATTCCGGTTATAGCGCAGTTCCACGTTACTTTCGTACTAGTCAAAATATCAATCCAGCTCGTACATCCCCATTAATGTACAAATCAAAATGAAGACCCTGAAGAAGCCATTTGTATATATATAAGTCATATATCGAAACCAGATAACAACACAGGAAACTTGATAGGGTTGGAGATATGTCAACAATCTGTGATGAATTTGTATATGCTAATTGTTTATACCATACTTAGGGCCTCCGAATTTAGATCTTATATAAATACTTGGGGGACTCAAATGTAATTATGTAATAAATGAAGGGGCAAATATGTAATAAGTGAGGAGCCCTTATTCTATAAAAGGGCCTCCTCACCCTCACAAACCTCAAGCTCTCATCCTCACAAACAGAGAGCTCTCTCAAACTCTCTCTTTCTCTGGGGGACTCCCCCTCACCCTTGTAATCCATACATACAGTTAGAGAGAAACAATATCAACATCAGTGTGGACGTAGCCTAAATATTGGGGTGAACCACGATACATCTTGTGTTCTTTACTTTCTTGCAGATTCACAGTCGGATTTACGTTGTTCTAAGACCTCCCAGTTTTGTGCATCAACATTTGGTACCGTCTGTAGGAAACGATACGAAAAGTTATGTCGGTTCTCTTTCATTTTTTTCACCTCCGCCGTGAATCTGCAAATACCCACAAACCTCACTGGGCTTTTCCAAAAAAAAAACATTCACTAAGCTCCAAAACTCATCCCTTAAACACCATCACTCCTCTTTCTCTCTCTCTGGAAAACACATAGAAACTAAACAAAAAACCCATTTCAAATCTCCAAACTCTGTAACCGACTCACAACCCAAAACCTCAAAGCTTGAAGCTTTTTAATGGGGTTCCCAATTGGGTACACTGCTTCTGCTCCCAAAACTCTTCATCCAAACACTCCCACTCCAAAACTCGTGCACCAACATTACCACCGCCAGCTACCCAGTAGTAAGTCCGACTTGTTCGTCGTATTTTTCAGGCGCCATGGACTCCCAGATCTATGGTCGCTGCTTCTTCTTCTTTCTTGGACTCCCAGAACCCCCCTCTTTGGGCTTTTCCAAAAAAATCCCCCATTTACACAACTGTCATAGGCTAAGACGCTGTGATCGTGGACCAATCTCCGCCATCACAGACGAAGTCCGACGCCACCAAGCCCTGACCAAAGGCCCTCTCTCCTCCTCGATTTCCAAGCTCTCCGACTCCTCGCAATTCTTGCTTAATAGCAAGGACTTCTACGAATTCAGAGCCCCAATCAAGCAAATCACCAAGGAATCGCAGACGATGCTAGCTCGATTGGCTCGATGGTGCCTGTTTGGGGGAAACCGATGGCCTTCCCTGATGACTTGGATGACGTACACGATTGGCTCGTTATTGTGAACGATGAGGCTCTGGAGAGGTTTAACTCGTCAATGGACGAGTTCAAGATTGTGAGGAAGGAGGCAGAGGAGGCCAAACGGCCGACAAGTGCGGCTATGGACATAGACGATGGGTTTCAATTGGTGTGTAGGAAAAAGAAAAAGGGGCCTACTGGATCGATAGCGGCCAGTGGGAACGATGATTCGAGTCAGGTCTCCTCTGCGATGAAGGTGGCTGCCAAGGATAAGAAAACTGTTTGGTGCATGGGTTTCCGCTACATGGGTTTTCCTGAGGCCACCATGTTTGGTGCAAGTGCTGGATTTCCTCATGGGTTCTTAAATACATTTCATGACGGACCTGCACATAGGCACCATCTGAACAAGGGTATAGGGTCTCGGCGTCGGTGACTAGTGTTCAAGTACGATCCACCGAGTGAGGCGAACTCCGGCTACAGCGTATACCAACTGCCAAACCTATGAAGCTACATAACTTGCGACTTTAGCAACGCCAAGCTGCTGGCGAGTCAGATGCAGGGAGGTGGCGACGGCTTCAAAATGGAGCTAACTCAGTAGAGTCCATATTACTTTGCCAGCAGTGAAAAAGATGGCAAGAACTGCAAGGATGGGCTGATGATGTTGTTTGCGATCCCACTACAAGGTCCCAGCAGCAACCAGGCCGAAAGCAAAAGCAAGGAAATAAAGGGAGAAAGAGAAAAGAAAAAGCAAAAGGATGTATGGAGAAAAGCAGAAAGTAAAAGCAGAAAGCAAAAGAAGATAAAAAGAAGCAGACATAATTGTGTTGGTGATAGCATGCAAAAAAGAGAATTATGGACATAATTTTGATCAAAAGTACGCCCAGTACTCTAAAAAATATTGCAGAAAGAAAGAGGAACATCATTGGACAGTGTGTTGGTAAAAATTGCGGCAAGCCGAATTTATGGAACTTTTTATCTCAAAGTACGCCAAAAGTACTCTAACTCCAAAATTATTCGGGCAGCTGCCGCTATTATCACAACCAGGTGATCAAAGTACGCCAAGTACTCCAAAATTATCATCGCCACGCCAATGCACTAAGGATCAAATGAGTACCAAAATTATATACTCCATGAGCAGATCAAGTACGTCCATTCCAAAATACATGGTGTAAACTGAGCACATGTCAACATACATGAGCATCACATCATCATCATTCAATCACCGCAAACATCATGAGCATCACTCATGTCAAAAATCTCATAACATTTTCGTGAGCATCACTCACATAATCAGTTCGAAAGCTTCACTTACAGCCTAGCTTCGAAACATCATTTAAAGTTCCAGCTTCGAAAGCTTCATTTACAGAGCTCCAGCTTCGAAAGCTTCATTTTAGTTCGCTCAAGCATTCGAAAGCTTGATGAAATTAAACTAACACACAAATTAAACCTCTGTATCATTGTATGTAAAGAATATAAGTAGGGATCGTTCTGGACCGGGATTAAGGGGCATTGCTAATCTAAACTAATTTAAAACAATATAAAAAAAGTTAAAAAGCACTAAAATAGAATAAAAAAACACAGAAAAGACTAAAAACTTCAAAACAACTAAAACTCAAAACGGGAAGATTTGGACTCAAATTTACTGGTTAAGCTACAACTAAATCAGTTTCTAATCTCAACAAGCCGGTTTTGGTTTTAACAAAGAAATACAACTGGGCACTGATTTAGGAGACTTTTAATAAATGAAACACACTTTAATGGAGATTTTCCTAATTGAATTGGATGTTTTAACAAAGTTCCGGTTTCCAAAAATTCAAAAACACACTAATTCTCTTAATTTTGTGAAAATATAAGATTTCCAATGTTTTACTTGAAAAGCCGGTTAAAAGGTGATGAACAATTTAACGATTACTAACATGTGATTTCCAATAATACAGTTTCACAACTATACGATTCAGGTAAACTCCCTAAGCTATAACAAGCAATCCTCGCATTAAATTGTAACTTGAATTGAAAACTTTAAACGGTTGTGCTTTACTATCTTTATAAAGTTCCAACAAGGTACCATCCTCGCAGTATTTATGATCAAACCTTTTCTTAACCAATTAAGTAAACAATGGATAATAACTTCACAACTTATGAATCACAACTAAAAGTAAATCAAATATTGCAAGATGAACATGGTTTCGAATTCCCCCTAGCTAAGGGGGGTTTAGTTACTACCAAAGCAATGATAAACAAATTTAGACATTGAAAACAAAAGAAAGAAAGACACTAAATGATCCATGGTGGACAGCATGCACGTCCAAGCACTTCCTTCCCTTCCTTTGCTACGGCAAGGGTTTGTTGGTGTGCTTGAAGGTTTGGTTGTATGGAGGAATGGATGTGAAGCTGAATGGATGTGTTTGGATGAGTTGTATTGAAATGGGGATGAATTCTCAAGCAAAAACTGATTGATGATGGTTGCCACACACACATCCTTTTATAGAGGAAGTCATAGAGGGATGAATGTGTGTGAGATATTCAAATAGTCGTGGATTAGAGACGTATGAAATGAAAGTAGGGAACATGAATGATTTGTTCACATGGTAGATAAAGGAAAGGGAGGTGGAAGGTGCATAAATAAGTCATAGGTGCGGTTGATTCATGCACGACATAGTGAAGGAGTGGTGCATCAATGAGTGCATATAGTGGAGGTGAGTGAATAAATGTGAGGGGACAGGGATGTGCACCAAATTGAGTGCAGATAAAAGTAAGGGTGCATGAAAACAGAAAATGAATGGGGACAAAGGTGAGTGTTGTGGTAATAAGTATGTAATGTATGGGTAGTGTGAATGTAATGGGTGTAGTTGGTGTTGTGGTTAATGAGTGAATGTATGGTTGTACGGAAAAGCTCATAGCAATGGGGATGGAACAGCCACAAATCAACCATTTTTCTGCCGTGCCGTGCATTCCTCCCTCTTTTATGTGTGTTTCCTGGATCTAATCAACATTTCCACATGTACAAGCTGTTACAATTGCACACACACATGCTCTTCCTCATTTCAGCCAAGAAATCAACAACTTACTACCATACGCGTGCTTTCTTTCTTTTATATGAGTGCTGTCCATGTATTCTCATTTCACATGTACAAGTGTTACACTTGCACACACACACATGCCTGATTTAGCCTTCTAATCTCAAAAACGTCCATCTTATGTCTCTATGCTGCACTATCCAATCTGGTCCAAAAATGCTCCAAAATGCTCCAAATAGCACTTTTGCCAACTTTGTTATTTGAACCTACAAACACACGAAAATGCTTAAGTAATAAAATAAACTAGAATTAAACTAAGTAAATGCCAAGAAACAAGCTACTAAGGCATAAATATTGCTACTATCAAGCTCCAATTTACAAAAGCTCAGCTTCAAAGTCACCTCAAAGCTTCAGTGATGGTATACAAAAGCAGCCTTCGAACAACCCCACTTCGGCCCATACATGGATCGGAATTTGAAATCTCCAGCCAACAGACTCTATTGACTGAAGACTTGGGGGAGTACACTATGTACTACCATATATTTGGGCTCATGAAAAATACTTGGGGGACTTAGCCCAGTTATTTTATGTAAAACCTTTAAGGAGGCATCACCTTACTTCTATTAAGAGGGGATTTCCCTTATTTTTAAGAAGACATTCCTCCCTATTAGAGGGATCGCTTGCTAAGCAACCGCGCCGCGGCATTCGCTCATGATACCCATCACTTATGTATTGAGGGAGTGGAACCTAATTTCAATAAAGTAGGGAAACGCCCTTCACCATCATTAGAGAAATCAACTCTCTGCCATCATTCATCTGTATTGAAAGACGAGCCTTATTTCTATAAAAGGGAACGCCTGCACTTCAACGCCATACACCGAGCAACTAAGACTAATCCACACCGAGCAGCCTCCAAATTTGAACCATTCTTTAGGTTGAGATTATTTCACATTGAGCATCGCCTCATATCGTATTCAGTTCTAGATGAATTATCTACTTTACTATTTTGCGCCCCACACAAACTGAGGATTTCAAATCTCAACCAAATCTCTCTATTTAGACTTATATAAACTAGCTGAAAAAATTATATACATCAAGGGGCAAATAGTATTTAGAATCTCATATATTCCTTCGCCACCGGGGACTTTCTAAATGAATTCTAATAAAAATAAAGGAGCAAGTGATTTTATTCTAAATGCTCAAACTTGCCTCGAAAGCTCAATGTGGAGGTTCTCGCCCTCTAACCCCTAAATTCCTTGTTAATAACATTACAGTTAGAGAGAAACAATATAAAAAACATCAGTGTAAAGCGCCAAAACCCAAACGATAGGTGAACCACGAACATCTCTTGTTATTCAGTTCTTCGGCTCAAATTTGATGTCTTTCCAAGATTCCCAGTTTTGTTGCATCAACTAAAAAATAATAAATGCAAACAAATATGAAAAAACAATAAATTTAAACATTAAATTTGAAGATCGATTGGGTAAATGCAAAAGTATCCCTTGAATAAGAAATTTGCCCCCTCATGCTGTAGTTCTGGAACGTCCTCACCAGTGATTCACCAAGTCAAAACCAAGCACAAATTGACGGGCAATGGTCTGGCAAAGGCAATTGTGTGGACAATAAGACTTTATGATTAAATGCCATGCAGATGAATTGTATATAATGATTATGCCTTTTTCGCAACAAGAGTTGATCATTGGGAAATCTTCTCAGATGAGTGATTCTTTCTTTTCTTGCACACTTTATTCAGACTTAAAGGATAGGTCCAAAATTTAAAAAATTCAAAATTAATTAAAATAATTAATGCAATTTAAAAGTATTATTAGGAGCCCAAGAAATGATAATTAATTATATATATAATTATCAATTAATAGCACACCCCAGAACCAATCCCAAGGGTGAGCCCAAGTTTAATCAAGGTCATCCTCAATCATTTTCTATACCAAAACCTTATAAAGAGAGGAACTTGTGAGTGAGAATGTGACATGAACAATGCATTGGGTGACATTTGAATGCAAATGTAAATGCAAATGTATGACTAGGCTGCCTAAAACTGAGAGAGAATTGACATGATATGCATTGGGTGAAATGTCTCTTGGACTTGAACTAAAATATATCGGGTTTACCTGGTGACGCAGTGGATGTGGAAGATCTTGAACTGTTCACCGTAGTAGTAAACCGAGACAATATGATACACACATATCATGTTTGCCACATGTCAATTCATACCGTTGTGTTCATTTTGCCCATTTACTCCTATATAGGTGACATTAATTAAGAATAGTCTGCCATATTCCTCTTGATAACAAGATATTAATGTCATTAAATGTATAAAACATAACCTCTCAAACTAGACAGACAACACACATTTTATCATAAGAATGGGTAATTTGTGTATCCAACTTGTTAATCA